TTATTTAATCCAGCCATGTTGTCCGCCATCTTACACTGCTCTAACTTGCTCTTACCCGTTCTTTTCAGACCCATATGTATCTTTGCACTGGTCTGCACTATCTTGAACTTTCTTCAACTAGTACAGTTCCAGTGCAGCCCTAGATCAGGTCGAAAGAACAAACCTAATGTTTATAACCGTTAAAAAATGAAACAAATCACAATCACGACGCTCACGAAAGAAAGAAAAATGCAAGAATATGATTTGTACACAAACGACGCGCGCGCATGCGTACGCGGCGTAAGCATTTATTTTATATATATATATATATATATATATATATATATATATATATATATATATAATAAATAACATAAAAATTTAAATAGACAGAAAAAATATAGATTTCGGTTGATCTGTTTTTCGTTTGCCTACTTATCGTAGAAAAATACAGGTTAGAATCACATCTTAGAAAATTACACAATTACGTTTCTTTCCACTCTCATATTCCGTAACCATAGCCTTGTATTCCTGAGTTTTCTTTCTTACGAGAGACACATCCTAACCTCATAAAAATATCAATTGTCACTAGAATAATTCGTAGTCCATGTCGTCTGATATACCGCATGTAAGTAAACAGATAGATGGGCAGATAAGATTACAAAAAACATCGAGAACATTTGCTCCATACGAAAGCATTTATCCGACTTGTGTGCAGCTACGCGCGCGATGTAACGCGCACTAGTGTGTGTGTGTGTGTGTGCGCGTCGCATGACATGGCGCACGTATGTAAGATTGTGTGGGTAGCGTGTACGCGCGCGAGCGTTTGTGCAACACATTATCCGCCGTATCTAAATATCTACGCCACCGCGAAGTGTAGTGCACCTCGTCGATTTTGGCCGGCGCGTCGTGTCGTGTCGTACGTTTGCGATAGCGGTTCCCAGCGTCACGACTCGCGGAAACGACCTGTTCCTGCAAACTGAGCCGTTCGCTTCTTCACGAAGTGCCAGCCGATTAAAGGAACGTCAACGTCGGCCGCAACCTATATTTTTGTACTACATGGAAGGGCCATGTAACCTACGCTGTAAGTATCAATGGTAATCGGTTCGCCTGTTCGGTATTCTCTACGCGATAACAGGTTCGCAACCATACGAGACGGCGTCGGGCCGCAAGAACCCTTTATTGCGTTCCGGACCTGTTACCGCGTTTGAGGTTATGAGATCGTTTTTATGTAATTTCTGGCTGCACCCATCGTGTACAAAGCTTTTTCCTTGTCTCTTTACTTCGATTTGTTTTTTGGATATTGTTGATATCACACATCATGGAATGACGTACGTAAGCAAATAAATTAATTTCACTTTCAGAGTGAAGTGTAGCAAATGGAAGGTTTTAAGGTGAAAGATGAACCGATGGATGCATTAGCCATAGACAGTCAGGTTATGGTAAACTTTTTGTATGAAACACAGCAGTACGGTATATGGTATACTGCTGAGTCCTGTGCAGAGTCTAACGTAAGAATTACTTTAAGGATGAGAACATTGTGAGCGTCGTGCTTAAAGAGGAACCAGGTGACAGATTTGATCCCGACTACATGGAGGATATTTGCTCAGGCACTTTCGAGAAGGTATTTCTGCCTATCGAAAACAATGAAGTGGATTTCTCCAATGAAATGGTAAATCTATAACGTTAAGGTAAAGGAACAATGGGCCATTAAGAGCCTTCAAGTGGATATTTATATACAAATTCGTAATACTTGATGTTATATTGCAGGGACTAAATTAGAAGTCAAATGTTTCAGTTTCACTTTGTATTCTTTTCATTGATAACAAAAGAATTATATCAGAATTTAACTAATAAGTTATGAGTTCAATGTTTGGTTTATAATTTTGTCTCTGTGGGTGACATTGAATAATAAGATTTACAAATTTGCATACAAATATCCACGGATAGGCTTTTGTTGGCCCATTTACTCCTTTAATTTGATTTTACATTCATAGAACCTCTATCTTTCTTTTCTTTAATTTACAATAATTATAGTCATGTTATATTTTTAATGATCGATGGGACATTCTTTTTTTCTACAATTCAGAAAATATAAATATTTTATACTTGACATTATAATTGTTCACATTTATTATATGCATTATTTATAGAGTTTTATAAACCATTACAGGTAAAGCTAGAGTTGGAAGGAGAATCTACTAGTCATCATAATTGGACGGCACAAATAAATGCCAATCTATGCGACAAAGAAGATAGTGTAATGCAACGATGTTTGGCTAACACAAATTTTTTACAAGTGCAAGACCCTGAGAAGCATCACGGATTTTGTCAAAACGGGCAACAAGCAAAATTTTATAAAATACAATGCTCAATTTGCAAGAAGTGGTTTCTGAACAATGACTCCATGGTGACACATCTAAGAATGCATTGTAGCGGAAGTCAGTGCGAAGTTTGTCAGCAGAATTTTCCCGATAACTCCAGCTTACACGCTCACATGTTGACTCACGTTGGAATGAGCCCATTGGAATGCAACATCTGTCAAAAAAGATTCGCTTATAAATGGTGCTTGAGAAGCCACATGCAACTACACGTGTTGGACAAACCATACGATTGCGATGCGTTGCAGCAAGCTTTTATGAAGCGAGCAGGTATGAACGATCAGATGATGCATATCGAAGAGAGACCGTTCGAATGTGACGTATGCCACGCGTCGTTCAAGGAGAAGATTACTTTAAACCGGCACATGTCCAGCCATGTCGGAGACAGATCCTACAAGTGTGAAATCGCAGCGTTTAGAGAAAAAGCGAAACTGAACATGCATATGCCGCTTCATATGGGAAATAAACAATTCAAATGCACGCTATGTCACAGAGCATTTGCTCAAAAGACAGCACTTAACAATCATATGCTGGCGCACAGCGGTGAGAAGCCACACGCGTGCAACATTTGTGAGAAAACTTACAAGAGAAAATCAGAATTAATTAGGCATACTATGGTTCATACCGGTGAAAGACCGTACGAATGTAAAGAATGCTTGATGACTTTTCGCGAAAAGGCCAAATTAAATTCCCATATGCTAGTTCATACGGGGGAGAAGCCGCATGAATGTCACATTTGTCACAAGGCATGCGCACGGAAATCAGATTTAAATAGCCACATGTTGTTGCACACCGGCGGTCAATATGATTGTAAAGTCTGCGATAAGATTTTTACCAGGAAGTCGGATCTAAATAGACACACGCTGATACACACCGGTGAGAAGCCGTTCGCATGTGATTTATGCGACATGGCGTTCAGGGAAAAGACCAGATTGAACTCGCATATGCTCATACATACAGGCGACAAGCGACACGCTTGCCACATTTGCCACAAAACATTCAAGGAGAAGTCATCGTTGAGGAAACACATGTTAAGCCACACTGGTGACAGACCATACGAATGCTATGTGTGTCACAAAGCCTTCACGCAGAAGACCACGCTGACCAGCCACATTCTTGTTCACGCCGGTGAGAGACCCTTTGAGTGCAGTTCTTGTCAAAAAATATTCAAAGACAAAGCAGCGTTGAAAAAACACTTATCGATGCACGTTAATGAGAAAACTCACGAATGTCTTATCTGTATGAAAAAATTTGCCCATAAGACAGCATTAAATAATCACTTGTCCACGAGCCACATATCCTAACTACACGGATCTAGTCCATTACAGCTTTCTGTTTCTTTACATTGAGCACTGTATGTTTGTAGCTGTATAGTATATTTCCAATAATTATATACCTACATCTGTTTTATATGCCAATAGGTCCGAAAGTCGTATTTTTTCTGTGTATGGAGATAATAAATTAATTTCTAAGTATTACTGCCAGTCACTTTACGCTCCTACCTAAGGACGAGTGAAACCATTAAAACGCTTATAATTCATACATTCCAACTTGAAACTGGTATTGTTAAATAGTACATCTCTAAAAATTAATAAATATCTACACAATATGCCATTGGCAAAAGAAACAGAAAGTAATTTATTAATTACTTCGTTAAGTTGAAAATGATAAAGACACATAAAAACTATTGGATATAAGCATAACAATTATTTAATCCATGTAAACAAGAGGTTTGTATTGGTCAACTCTATAATTTTTTTGTAATTGTGAGCTAGATGTAGCCAATTATACCTGAAATAATATGACAAGATTCTATAATTTTATGTAAACAGTACTGTATGTCGAGTTAAAAATTGCGAGATCAGTTAAGATATAAGGTCATAACGTGTCACTGGCTATTTACAATTTATAATATTTAAATTTATTATTGCAAATTTTTTTATTAAATGCAAAGCCAGTAAATGCAAAACCAGTCATAAAATTTAATTTATACCAGCGGTATATATCAGTGAAATTGATTCAATAATTCGCTGTTCTTGAAAATATGATGCAACAAGCTGAAAAAGGGAAAATTAATATATTGGAGTCCTCCATTAATTTCCTCTAAATCATATTTTCAAACGCACCTGATCTCATGTCATATTGCCTGAGCATTCATAATTGTCCCAATTTTCCATTCCTCGATTAATGACCTCCGCCTATACTTGTGCGCATAATTCCAATAAGACCCTATTTCCTAAATTATACATAAATACATGTGTAAAATTTGTTCTAAGTTTCTAAACTGTCATATTGAATATAACGTAACGCATAGCGTGAAATAACAAATAAGGCAAAATTTTATGTAAACATTAGAATACATTTGAATCCCAAGAGCCTTATGAGATCTATCTAGATGATCATCTCTAATTAACGAATCAATGTTATTTGGTAAACTATAGCAATAAGTGTTATTCAGGATCAGCGATATCTTAGAGTATTTTGAATCATGACGTCAGAAGTGTGAGAAATAGGAATAAGTACATACACACAAATAATTGTTGCGACTTGCGTGTACAAAAGTGACGTTTTATTGACTAAACTAATTTATCTCGATATGTGATACGAACTCGATAAACAATGAATGAATATCATAATAGCTATTAATAGCGACAATTTATATATAATGGTTCAGATGGATTTCAAATTATTTTATATTGGCATGTAATATCACATATTAGTTAGAAAATTACTTTAACGTTGTAATTGTTCGGTTAGATGTAGGTTTAACGAAGTTAAAACTACATAAATTGTTACTAATTATTAACAGCGCCATGACTTATCCAATTGCGCATTACATATTTGAACCAATAATGCCAATATAAACGTAATTAATGTAGTAATCTTCATGATTCTTATAGCACAATGGACTCGCAATGGAAAGCCTTAACGAAGACAACTGACCCTATGCGTCCAAGATATCCTTTTATATATTTCTCAGCGAGCTATAATTATATTTGCATTGTAAAAATATCTGGTTAATAACTTACTTGTTTGCATGTACTGGCTGGACGATATGCGCATCGCCCATTCTTTCGGAATGTTAGAGATGAATGTATTCATCTATGTGTGCGCGCGCGAGATGAAATTAAATTCTCCATTTATATATTTGTATAAATTAATTGATTAAGATATGTTTCTCTTGAACTTTATTACAAAGACGAAAATATTACGATGTCGATTGTATTTTTAACGGATTATTCTATAAAGTTATCGTGCTGAGAACTGTCGAAAGCTGCAATTCGATGTGGCCAATTATCGATCACATAACGGATAATTAGTGTTTGCAACTTAAATAATCACGCGTATAGTTCTAAGAAGCTTGTTTACTTTCTATTAATCAATCAGAGTAAGCGTACTGATGGGCAGTGTACATACAGTGGAAAAATTTTGTCTGTCCATAGTCGTATCGCAATCATACTAAATGAATGAGATTTCTGTAATAAATATAAAATTTTTATATATAAAGCATATAAGAAAATTATGTGTTTCAAATATTAAGTAGCGATTGGTAGCGCCAACTAAATGTATATTATATTTTGCAATTATGTCGTCATCTGCATGTATTCTGTTCTGCTTAATATTCATATTCTGATTGAAATGTTCATCAGTACTTGAATTAACCCTTTACATCGACAGGATGACTTCCTGACCAACCTGTAACACAACGACATAATAATCGCTCACACACAAATACTTTATTGACAAATATTATATTCATTATAATATCTTTCGGTAAACAAAGTTGTCGAAGAATGTGAAAAGAATTAAATTATATTTAAACAAATAAAATTACACACACAAAGTTAATTATTTTTCATAACTAATATTTTTTTATAACATATCTTCTAATGTAATTCTTACATATATGCTTAAAAGAATATTTCTAGAGGAAACTTACTTCTTGCACTACTACTGGCAAATGCAGAGGCACCATTGGAAGTCCAGGAATTGGGTTCGCCTTGATTCTGCGCTCCACTGGAAGACCAACTTCCGCTGTTGCCAAAATTATTGTCATGTCCTAAAAACGCAAAATTGTACAACATATTTATTTATTATATATATTTATGTATTACATGTAAATTGATTATATATTTACATATAAACCGATATTAGTTTTATACAGGATGTCTGATGCAATATGTACACCCGCTCATGTGCAGATAAAACTCATCAAACTAAACGAATAAGTCCATTTTGCAAACAATCATAATCATTTTTAAGATTTCAGTGATAGAAAATTAGCGAATGAATACAAGTGATATAATGAGACTAGCTTTTTAGGCGAAATTCCTTCAAGATATCTGAATCTATTGGCAATCTTACAAGTATAATTTTTTATCATTAATATATGATTATTTTCTATCATTAATATCAATTTTTTATTATAAATATTTCAAAAATTACCATGGTTTGCAAAATAGTATAGAACTTTTTCGTTCAATTTGATGATTTCTATCTGCACACGAGTGGATTTACGCGTCAGACACTTTGTATATGTGTATACATTTATACGCGTATTTAATGTTTTCCAATATCTTGCGTATTCTCTTTAAGTAAAAAATTACTTCCAAACATTATCAAAATAAAATTTTATTGATAAAAAATTTTTGATGGTATACTTAAAGAAATTATAATATCTCAGATAGACAGAAATATTGAATATAGTATGCAATTAACATATACTTTTGCATTAATATATACTTGCATTTAATGTATACTTTGTGTAATGTGCTATTGCAACAGCATAATATGTTTAAAATATGTTTGTTTTAAGAAATACGTCTTTATTACGTCACAATTTAAACAAAATATTTACTTTTTACTTTAAAAATTCCGAATTAATTGCGTTCTTTTTCCGGCAAAATGAGCAGCAATTTTCATGGCATCAAATGTCTTCTTTTATATATTGATGGCATTCTTGCTGTATGAGAACATGTCTTTGCGTATTTGTACTAGTCATTAACGAGATAATATGCCGAAATATGTCTATCTGGCATTTTATTAAAAAAATAAAATTTTTTTTAATGGAAAATATCCTGTATGTGTACCATTATAAAATACAATATCGCGAACTGAATTGTAATTATGTGTGATCATTTGTTTGTTTTATAGTATATAGATATGCTGAAAGAACTATCATCACATATTGCCAGATATTGCAGATACGCTAAATTAATTACGCTGGTATGGTTGGTATAATGGCTCTCGTAGCCAAAGAACGGAAGCGGATACTCGTAGCCGGCGCTTACTATTAATTAAGAACTGCTGTCTTTGATTTATGCATCATTGTACGATAAACTGCATCAATTATACTCGTTTATCCAATTCTTCCTGTACAACCACGGTTGACCTTGAAGTATTTTCTATTGTGAGAGACTTATTTTGCATATACGTAATTTCAAAAATACCACAATACACAAATGTCTTGTGGAGATGTTCTATTAGTCGTGAGAAAAACTTCCACGGATATGATCTACTTGACAGTATGAGGATATAAATGCTGAGAAATTATAAACGTATCCTTGATTTGATTTATGATCGACATTCATTCTTTTGAATCTTTCTCTCTGTCTTGCTTAAAAAATTCAATAAGGGAATTAATAAATATACGAATTTCATTAAAATATTATATGACTTAATTTGAACTTATCATTTCTATCGGAAATTTTAATTTCTAATATTTTAACTTACGTAAAAATATTATAAATTTTTTTCATTTTCTATCGCGCAACTTTTAATGATTAGATATTTTACCAAGTGATTAAATATTTATCTGAATACATATTTTTCTATGTAATTGTATCTTGTGTATTTTTTACTAAAAACATAATTCAGTTATATAGATTTTTCTTATATAATTGTATCAAATCTTTTAAGTATCAAATCTTTTAATCTTTTAAAGTAATTTTTTAATACAAAATAAAATTGAAAACGTGTTTATTAAATATATCTAATACAGATGGTACAACGAGTTGATGCGTATATACAAGAAAATCTACATTTATTTCTCGAACACTTTTGCAAGATACGAACCTCCTGTACCAGAGAAAAATAAGGATTTAGCGTTGGCAAAACTGGAACTAGAAGCTTGAGCGCTGCTAAAGGATCCAGCATAAGCTCCAGCATGAGCACCACTAACGGACCCTGCCAAATTATTTCCTGCTGACCCAGAATGTCCTGCATCGATACTAAGTTCGCCTCCATAATTGCCGAATGCAGGAGCGATCCCAGTTCTAGAACTTCCGAGCTCACCGGGACCACTATTAACACTTCCTGGACCTCCAATACTAACTCCAATATTTCCATCAATTCCTCCGTGTACTCCTCCCGGATGCTTATCACTTCTTGTAGCTGCATAGCTTCCGCTACCAGATGTTCCACAACCAAAAAGACCCAATTTACATTGTAATGGTCCAGTACCCTGAGAATCATGTATATTGCTATGCCCGCCTTGCGGAGAAACTCTGCCAGGATGCAGACTACTCTTTATATTTCCGTAATCATTACTTGGTAATCCCGATCCAGAAGTAGATTGTTTATTATACGATAGACCACTCGAAGCACTGCTTGCACTACCGAAAGATGTACCAAAAAGATTATTTCCCTCGGGTTTCCTTCCTCCGAGTGGAATCACTTGTTCATCGGTATTAATTTCGATATCTCCTCTTCTCTTGTTATTGTTCAGAAAAGGATTTTCTTTGTTAAATGGTTTAGTATTTTCTTGCCCAGGATGAATCACATTTCTGTCATTGTTTGCATTATTATCGCTAGCCTTAGGAGTATTCCAACTGGAGTCCAGGAACGGATTTCCTTTGCCAATTGGTTTAGGTGTTGTTCCGCTCAAAGGACGTGAAGCATCATTAAAGATACTGCCTAAAAAATTAATAAAAGTGTTATTATATATACATACACTTATATTTTTTATATATATTTATATACATATATTTTTATATATACCTGTTAAAATATATATCTATATTCATATTTATAGCTTTATTCATATAGGATAAATTTATTAGGTGTACAACTTTGCTTCCGCCGTTTTCCTATAGATGGCTTTAGCGGTAAGTGGTGGTCGAAATAAATAGATCATAGACGTCATACAATAAACTTGGGCATCTGTCATAACCCCATAGAAACATTAGTCGATTTGTGTCTGCATTATAAAGTTATTCTCGATTGAAAATGTCAGTTTACGAGCCAAATTCTCGTCATTTGCGGGAGGTTTTAATTTTCTGCTTCCATATGAAGAAATCTGCGGCTCATCGAATGCTCTCAAATACTTATGGTGAGGCCGCTATTAGTGAAAGAACGTGTCGTGAGTGGTTTCAACGCTTCAAGAACGGTGATTTTGACGTCGAAGACCGGCATAGCGGTGGAAGAGAGAAGGTTTTCGAAGATGCAGAATTGGAGGCATTACTTGATCAAGACTCGTGTCAAAATCAAGAAGAATTGGCACGATCATTGGGAGTGACTCAACAAGCCATTTCAAAACGCCTCAAAGCCATGGGAATGATTCAGAAGCAAGGAAATTGGGTGCCGTACGAATTGAAGCCGAGAGATGTTAAACGGCGTTTGTTTGCTTGTGAACCGCTGCTTGAAAGGCAAAGACAGAAGGGATTTATGTATCGCATTGTGACTGGGGACGAAAAATGGGTTCATTATGATAACCCCAAGCGCAGAAAATCATGGGGAATTCCCGGCCATGCTTCCACGTCAACGGCCAAACCGAATATTCACGGCTCCAAGGTCATGCTCTGTATTTGATGGAACCAGCTCGGCATAGTGTATTATGAGCTGTTAAAACCGACTGAAACAATCACAGGCGATCAGTATCGAACGCAATTGATGTGTTTGAGCCGAGCATTGAAAGACAAACGGCCGCAATGCAACGAGAGACACGATAAAGTGATTTTGCAGCATGACAATGCTCGACCCCATGTTGCGAAAGTGGTCAAGACATACTTGGAAACGTTGAAATAGGAAGTCCTACCCCACCCGCCGTATTCTCCAGACGTTGCTCCCTCTGACTATCACTTGTTTCGATCAATGGCACACGGCCTGGCTGACCAGCACTTCCGGTCTTATGAAAAAGTGAAAAATTGGATCGATTCGTGGATCGCCTCAAAAGATGACCAATTTTTTCGACACGGGATTCGTACGCTGCCCGAAAGATGGGAGAAAGTAGTGGCCAGCGAGGGACAATACTTTGAATCATAAATGTATAACCAGTTTTTTACAATAAAACCTCGAATTTCGGAAAAAAACGGCGGAAGCAAAGTTGTACACCTAATATATTATATTTTGAAGACAAATTCATTATTGAAAAATTTCCTTATCCTTTTCCTACTTATATAAAATCATGAACAATGCATTTAATGTGAAATAAATAAATATTATATAAATTACATAGATGTCTATACTAAACTAAATTGCTAACTAAGGCTTTGAACTTGCGTCGCATGAGGTTTCCGGTTGTATGCGAGAAAATGGCGGCGGTCCTGTGTGTGTGACGCGTGTCACTTGTGTGAGTATCTTATAACGTACAAATTGAGTTAGCGGCCATTAAATTACTGTCGTAAAACCAAAAATGTCAGCATCTTATTTCATCAAAAAATGTCGCAACAAAGAAATAGATGGTATTGGACGTTATTTGCTCTGCTCATTTTCAACAAAAGAATTTTATGACTAAACTAATGAATATATGTGGTGGTAGCGGTCATTTTCTTGCATACACCGGAAACTCTATCGGACGCAAACCGTTATATGCTTTTAGATAGTCTATTAGCAATCTATCCAGTAAGCAAGAAATCATTAATATAACGTTACTACAATGATATTCAAGAACCTGTAATATTGTCAAATATGTGTTTAAATATAGTGTTTAATATTGTATCGACCATCATTATGAACATACTTTGACCGCGATTTGGAAGTTTCAATAATGTTGAATAGAGTCATAATGTTTTAATTGTCAGAAATATTCTTAAGATGTTGCATTGATCTCAAATAAATATTAAAGTAACATTTGAAAAATATATTTTTTGTAATGTTTTTAAAACGTTTAAACAACATTCAGAAAAATCATATCGCAAAATAATATGTGAAAAATATAAATGCAATATTATTAAAAAATATCCAAATAATGCACATGAAGTCAACGTTTCTAAACGTTAATTTAATTCCTTGCTTACTGGGTAGTTAGTATAGACATCTCAGTGGTAAATTATGAAGATGTGTTTTTATTGTTTAACCAATGTACATTATCAGCTTACCTACAGGTCCATATAAAAATGGATTTGCGGAATTCCATTGAACAGGATTTTCTGGTGTTACATCTGCGCCTCCTAAAGTTTAATTATATTTAGCGTATAATATGTACGTACTAATACGTATAAGTTATTATGAACATACGTCACTCCATTACCAGCATTATTTCATTACCTTGATTACATGAATTGTCTCCTCTTCCACACTCAATATTAACTCCAAGGTAAGGCCCGTTACCAATATTAGAAGATAAACCTGATTTATATGTATTTGCAATACTCGGAACATTACCATCGCCAGTTCCAGCGGGATAATACGTTTTATTAACACCACTAGGTCCATTTATTACTCCACTACATGGTCCATGTATTGTGGGTGCATTGTTATTTCTTCCATTGCAACCACCGTTACAATTATAATTTCCTTCACAACTACTGCTTCCACTGAATGGACCAGTAGAACCTTCGCAGCTTCCACTTGAGCAACTAGGTCTGTTATCGTGCCCAACTTGTCCACTTGGCCAAGTTTTACTTGCGCCTCCAGGTTGTTGAGTAGGCAAAAGGGAATGATGACCGCCAGGTGTAATACTACTTTCCGGTTGTTTGCTGAGCCAAGGTGCATTTTCACCACCAGATTGTTTGCCAGGTCTAGTTACAATTCTGTTGTCAGGCTGCGTACCAAGAGGACCATTTCCATAAATAGGTCTGGTGCTTCCAAAAGAGCCCTTAACGCCAGAATAACTTGAACTTCCCGCGGGTATCGATGGAATACTAGCGGGCCAGATATTACTTCTGGTTCCAGTACTTAACAAAGAAACGGTAGTAGTACTAGTTTCAGTTCCATAACTTGGTTTAAGGGCTCCTGAATGTCCATAAATGCTGTCTTCAGCTGGAGATTCCAATGGCTTTCCAGAATTAAATGTATCACCATAAGCTTCTGGAACAGTCCCGAGTGAACCAAATTTTTTTGTGAACTTTTAGTAGGTCCGAAGATACTTGCTACATTCCAAAACTACGTATTATAAAAATAACTTCCAGATTTATCATAATCAAGTATTTATTGCCTAATCAATAAATATCACTACTAGTGTTAGAACGCGCTTGACTTAATCCGTCTGTTAGTGTATAGTGTCAGAGTGCTTGTTCGTTTGTCAAAACCAAATGGGTGTTCTTTATCCAAAATTAGATGCTCCATTATATTAGGACCTTAACTTAGTTTCCGCCCAAAAAATACTGAGAAAAAGCATTTATTGTAAAAAATTTATTTAAATTATTTCAATGAAAGTATTTTCCATCACTTTCTACAACTTTTTGCCATCTTTCTGGCAACTGGGCGATACCATCTCGATAAAACGATGTTTGTTTCGAAGCAATCCATTCGTCCACCCATTCTCGCACTTCTTCAACATTTCGGAAGCGTG